CGCCGGCTCCAGGACCCCCATCTATGGCTCCCAGACGCCCATGCACGACGGTGAGACGGAGGCAGAAACCCACAGGCTGCTGGGGTCAGAGTTCATTCTGCTGTTCCAGAAACATTTGGTTCTGGTTCTGGAGCTGCGTCACAGAGGGAATATTTGATTGTAAACACGGCACACTACAGAAGTGGGTAACCATGCCGGTTGCCATTTATTTAGCTGTTTGGACATTAGCAGCATGTTAAAATTAGCTTTGCTCAGGAACGTCTTCCTGACCCGTTAATGAACGTCTTCCTGACCCTTCAACCTCAGTTTGTGGGAACAAACTGCGGCTCTTAAAGGAGACGGATCCCTGTGAGGGCGGCGCAGGGGAACCTCAATAACTCAATCACATGATGCATTTACGCTTCATTTCCATTTGAATCTTTTCAGTTTTCAGTTTTGGTTTCTGCTGGGAGATAATTAATTTTATTTGTTTCTGTTTTATTTAAATGTTAAATGTTCATGGGAATTTAAATGTGATATTTGAGAAATTGTCCTTCCATTATGGCCTCAAAACAACATTATCAACTATCACAAAAACTTCGTCCAGGAAAATTTATTAAGGTGACAAGAATATTTTAGCCCGGTTCTGATCCAGCTCTGACCCGTCTCCGGTTCTGTTTCCTACAGGAAGCCGTACGCCTCACTACGGCTCCCAGACCCCGCTGCATGATGGGAGCAGGACTCCTGGTCAGAGCGGCGCCTGGGATCCCAGCAACCCCAACACACCTTCCAGGTAACCCCGACCCGGACCGGCAGAACCAGAACCGCTCCGTCGTCATCCGCCCTGCGTGTTTTTCTCTCACCTGCAGGAACGACGAAGAGTACGACTTCGGCTTCGACGACGAGCCGTCGCCGTCGCCGCAGGGTTACAGCGGGACCCCCAACCCCCAGACGCCGGGCTACCCAGAGGTCCCCTCCCCTCAGGTTAACCCCCAGTACAACCCCCAGACCCCGGGAACGCCGGCCATGTGAGTACCCGTCCCGGCCAGCAGGTGGCGCCCGGGCGTCCTGTAACGTCCGCGTTGTGTTCAGGTACAACCCGGAGCAGTACTCGCCGTACGCGGCGCCGTCACCGCAGGGCTCCTACCAGCCCAGCCCCAGTCCCCAGAGCTACCACCAGGTGGCGCCGTCTCCTGTCGGCTTCCAGAACACGCACTCCCCGGCCAGCTACCACCCCACCCCGTCCCCCATGGCCTACCAGGTGGGAACGCGCTCTCAGCGGGGTTCGGGTCCGCCAGAACCCAGCCAAAGACCCTTTGTGTTCTTATCGCCCCCTACAGGCCAGCCCGAGCCCCAGCCCGGTGGGCTACAGTCCCATGACGCCCGGAGCGCCCTCTCCTGGAGGATACAACCCCCACACCCCCGGATCCAACATCGAGCAAGGCAGCGGCGACTGGGTGACCACTGACATCCTGGTCCGGGTCAAAGACTCCTTCATGGACCTGATGGGACAAGTCGGAGTGATCCGGAGCGTCACGGTGAGCCCGACTGGACCCGACGGGGACCAGGAGCCCAAACATCTCGTTACAGACTAAATGACAACAAAACAATAATCATGGCCGATGGTGAAAACTCACCGACAACGCATAAATGATGCAAGCGCAACAGAAGCACTGTCAGAGCAGAGGCAGTGCTTTAAGGACGCGCGCCGCCGTCGCTTTAAGGACGCGCGCCGCCGTCGCTTTAAGAACGCGTCGCTTTAAGAACGCGTCGCTTTAAGGACGCGCGCCGCCGTCGCTTTAAGGACGCGCGCCGCCGTCGCTTTAAGGACGCGGGCCGCCGTCGCTTTAAGGACGCGCGCCGCCGTCGCTTTAAGGACGCGCGCCGCCGTCGCTTTAAGGACGCGCGCCGCCGTCGCTTTAAGGACGCGCGCCGCCGTCGCTTTAAGGACGCGGGCCGCCGTCGCTTTAAGGACGCGCGCCGCCGTCGCTTTAAGGACGCGCGCCGCCGTCGCTTTAAGAACGCGTCGCTTTAAGAACGCGCGCTGCCGTCGCTTTAAGGACGCGCGCCGCCGTCGCTTTAAGAACGCGCGCCGCCGTCGCTTTAAGGACGCGCGCCGCCGTCGCTTTAAGGACGCGCGCCGCCGTCGCTTTAAGGACGCGCGCCGCCGTCGCTTTAAGGACGCGCGCCGCCGTCGCTTTAAGGACGCGCGCCGCCGTCGCTTTAAGGACGCGGGCCGCCGTCGCTTTAAGAACGCGCGCCGCCGTCGCTTTAAGGACGCGCGCCGCCGTCGCTTTAAGGACGCGGGCCGCCGTTTCTTTAAGAACGCGCGCCGCCGTCGCTTTAAGGACGCGCGCGACGCGCGCCGCCGTCGCTTTAAGGACGCGCACCGCCGTCGCTTTAAGGACGCGGGCCGCCGTTTCTTTAAGAACGCGCGCCGCCGTCGCTTTAAGGACGCGCGCCGCCGTCGTTTTAAGGACACGCGCCGCCGCCGTCGCTTTAAGGACGCGCGCCGCCGTCGCTTTAAGGACGCGCGCCGCCGTCGCTTTAAGGACGCGCGCCGCCGTCGCTTTAAGGACGCGCGCCGCCGTCGCTTTAAGAACGCGTCGCTTTAAGAACGCGTCGCTTTAAGGACGCGCGCCGCCGTCGCTTTAAGGACGCGGGCCGCCGTCGCTTTAAGGACGCGCGCCGCCGTCGCTTTAAGGACGCGCGCCGCCGTCGCTTTAAGGACGCGCGCCGCCGTCGCTTTAAGGACGCGCGCCGCCGTCGCTTTAAGGACGCGGGCCGCCGTCGCTTTAAGGACGCGGGCCGCCGTCGCTTTAAGGACGCGGGCCGCCGTCGCTTTAAGAAAACAGACAAACTGCTGCAAAAGACAAACAGCTTTAAATATAAAACGCTGCACACAGAAATCCTCCAGACCACCAGGGGGCATCGATCAATACAGACAGGAAGTCCAGAGGAAACTGTGAGGAAGAAATAAGTCTGTTATTCTTCACATCTTTCACATTATTTGTAGCACAGCAGCATATGTAATAATTGTACCTGTTGCAGGCGCCCCCTAGTGTCCTGGAAGACTTCTGGTTTTTGTGTTAATGCTGCATTTCAGCGTTATGAGGGTTTGAAAAGTAAATGATTTTATGCTTGAATGAAAGTTTCTGCTTGTGAAAATGACGTTTTAGGAGTTTTCATACTGGAATGTCGAGTTCTGGTCCGTTTATGGCGGGCTGATGAGGTTCTGTCTGATCCACATCGGGACGCTGTCACTTTAAGAAGGAAGACTTATGCACCAGTCTTTAATTTTCATTAAAGTTCAAACACGAGGAGGGAAAATGGGACTGTTTACTTTGGAGTATTGGGCCGTCGGCCCGGCGCCGTCGGCCCGGTTGCTGACTGAACCTCGTGTCTGCAGGGCGGGATGTGCTCCGTCTTCATGCAGGACTCTGAGAAGGTGGTGAGCGTCAGCAGCGACCATCTGGAACCCGTCACTCCGACCAAGAACAACAAGGTGAGTCCACCTGGACCGGACCGGACCGGACCGGGGCCTCGCTCGTCCTCTGCCGGTGCCATGGTTACGGGCGGTGGAGCTGACTCCGTCCTGTTCTCCAGGTGAAGGTGATTCTGGGGGAGGACCGCGAGGCCACAGGGATCCTGTTGAGCATCGACGGAGACGACGGCATCGTCCGCATGGAGCTGGACGACCAGCTGAAGATTCTCAACCTGCGGTTCCTGGGCCGCCTGGAGCACTGATGGCCGCCGGCCGCGGACGCTCCGCTCTCGTTCTGTTCAGCTTTTAGTGCTTTCATGATCTGTACGGTCTTTGATTTCTGGCTCCCTACCAAACGTGTCGCATCAATAAACTGTGAACCGGCCCGGCTTCCTCTGCTTCCTGATCCAGGATCTCCAGGTTTTCCAGGTTTTCCATGAGATCCGCAGCTTCATGCCGGAGAACCACAGAAGCGGGTCTGCTCCTCTAGTTCCCACCTGGGGAACTTGCCGTCAGTGTCCAGGTGTTCCCAGGTCAGAAGGGATTTACATTTATGTGAAAAAGTTCACAGGTCAGATATTCAGTTTATTAATAAATCTTGACATGTCGACGTCTGAAGTCTCTGATTGGATCTCTGGAAATGAACCGTTTACTGTTCAGGTTTTAATGTTTTACTCTGAAATCAACCAGATAAAGTTAACGCACCATAACTATGTCGACGTCTGATCTTTGATCTCGGAGCGTTTAGTTTAACGGGTTGAAGGCAGTCGACGTTCCGGAGGGAAACGTGGTTCTGAAGGAAGCGGGTCGGGCGGTTCTGATGGACAGCAGGGGAAAGTATTCACACCCCTTTTTTCAGGTTTCATCCAATAATTCAACCTGGAAGTAAAGAACCAAGTGTAGCTGCAATAAACACAGGATGTTTCACCAGCAGATGGCGCTAAAACTGAACTAGAACTTAGGATAGTTTTAGTCTGTCAGTGGAAAGAGATGATTATTATTATTATTATCATTACTAAAAACAAACGTTACATTTTCTGTGAAAATCTCAGAGCTTCATGTTTACCAACCTTGTCAAAGTTAGTAAACATGAAGCTCTTTTGATCTTTGGCTATAAATTAAATTTTCTGATTCTGGAAAATTGTTGCAAATATTCTATAATTTTTATTTCAGTCTTTCACTAAAGACTAAAACTGAGACTAAACTAGCAAACGGTTCAAACTTAAACTAACGAGCTAAAGTCAAATTAACGGTGTCGTTGGATGGAAACAATGTTTGTAAATGGCATCATGGAGGAGCATCGCTGTGCTTCTTAAAGAGACGGAGGCCAATTTAAAATTTGATTTTTGCTGTTTTTATGTCCAGCATTTTCATCATAGCTGAAAGTGACAAAGTCATTAGGAGGATCATGAAGGAAGTGACCGGACAGACCAGACAGACTGGACCGGACCGGACAGAATGGACCGGACCGGACAGACTGGACCAGACCGGACAGAATGGACCGGACCGGACAGACTGGACCGGACCGGACAGACTGAACCAGACCGGACAGACTGGACCGGACTGGACAGGACCGGACAGACTGGACCGGACCGGACAGACTGGACCGGACTGGACAGCACAAAGTGGCTGAGGCTGGCGCCCCCTACAGGGAGCCTGTTTGTTCCACATTTTCTCACCAGGAGGGAGAATCATCAGAATTTGGGGTTTATAGGTTTTGGATGTGAGCCGTCGGATCAGAACCGAAGCGTGTTCTGTGAGGTTCTGCCAGAACAAACTGGACCAGACTGTTGGAGCCTTTTATTGGATTTAACAGTTTGATCATGTTGATGCTGCTCAGAAAAACAAATATGGATCTGAGCGGTTCCGAGTCCGAACTGGAGAGACGGCAGAGTTCCAGAACATCTCGGGTCGGGTCGGGCCGGGTCAGCCACAAGGCCGCCACGGCTCCTGGTGGTTGATGGGGAAGTAGTAGAGCGGAGCGTCTGGAGGGCAGGGGTGGCCCGGAGAGGGCCCGGGTCCGGGGCCCGGCCCGCCGTCGCCATGGTGACCACAGCCAACAGTCAGGTTCCGGGTCAGCTGGACCTTCACCTGGAACAGAACCTGCCTGTCCTGCAGGACAAGAAGAGACATTCAGATTCTGTTCATCCACACTAAACCAGGGTGTCAAACTCCAGTCCTGGAGGGCCGCCACCTCCTGGAGGGCCGCCACCTCCTGGAGGGCCGCAGCCTCCTGGAGGGCCGCCACCTCCTGGAGGGCCGCAACCTCCTGGAGGGCCGCCACCCCCTGGAGGGCCGCCACCTCCTGGAGGGCCGCAGCCTCGTGGAGGGCCGCAGCCTCCTGGAGGGCCGCCACCTCCTGGAGGGCCGCAGCCTCCTGGAGGGCCGCAGCCTCCTGGAGGGCCGCAGCCTCCTGGAGGGCCGCAGCCTCCTGGAGGGCCGCAACCTCCTGGAGGGCCGCAGCCTCCTGGAGGGCCGCCACCTCCTGGAGGGCCGCAACCTCCTGGAGGGCCGCCACCCCCTGGAGGGCCGCAACCTCCTGGAGGGCCGCAGCCTCCTGGAGGGCCGCAGCCTCCTGGAGGGCCGCAGCCTCCTGGAGGGCCGCAGCCTCCTGGAGGGCCGCCACCTCCTGGAGGGCCGCCACCTCCTGGAGGGCCGCAGTTTTTTCATATTGATCGATGATCAATGCGATTCAGCGGCGGAGGGGAGGAGTGCTGCTCCTGCTGGTTGAGACAGCATCACTAAAAAACAAGTTTTTGATCATTTCTGCGGAAAATCAACAATAAACGCACAAATGTGCATGAAAAAATCCGAGGTTCTGCTGATTTTGTGTGAATTATTGAATTGTTTCCGACTGAATGAGAATCTTCTGATTGTGTTTGAATATTTGTGACGATTCAGCAGTTTTCCTCTGACACTGAATCACCTGCTGGTCTCTGATGCACTGGATCTCACTTCTGTCTCCGACCTGCGGCAGCAGGACCTGCTGCAGCTCTGCAACCTGGACCAGAGAGGGACAGTCAGAACCAGAACCAACACAAACCCAGAAAAACTACAGCTGCAGACAGTAGAAACCAAAACAAACAGCAGATTCATTCCAGACAGAGAAAATAAAACATTTCTGTCAAACGTTTTTCATCTTGGAGGCAAAACATAAAATCAGCCCCAAAGGAGAAAAACATTTAGATTTTAAAATGTTCTGAAATGGTTGGACCTTGTAGAGTCGATCACAGGACGGAGTGATTCCTGCTGCCGCCAGCATCCTGCAGCACCAAACACAGAGTCTACCGTCTCATTTCTAACTTCATCATTTCAGAGAAAATGTCAGAAACATTTATGAACGATCATATTTTATTGCTGAAATGAGTGAAATCTGCACGGTGGCCACTAGGGGCGCTGCAGCAGCCCTCACCTGTAGAGGTCAAACTGATGGCGAAGCTTCAGGCAGATCTGGAAATATTTCAGAGGAGAGTTGAATCCTTCAACACACGCAGCGCAAGAGCCGTGTTTCAGCCACTCCTCCTTCCTGCCACACAAATCAGATCACAGCCTTTAATGCCCGTGACGTTCACACAAAACGTTCCGCAGCAAAACAGGACTGATGGTGACATACTGAGAAAAACTGAGACGTTATTACATGACTTCACAGGAATTAGATACAAATATCAAACCTTGGATCAATACAAATGATGAAAATAACAGGAAATATTCACTAATATTTCATGAAACAAAGAGGAAAAACTTCATTTCAAGCGTAAAAACAAAAAAATGAGGCAAAACATAAAATCTGGTTTGTGCTGCGGTTATGAATGAAAATCTGTTTTTTTCAGGATCAGCATTTCGAAAATAAACTGAATTAAAATAAAATACATTTATTTCCTGTATTTACATCAGAAAGTCAAAATCTGAACAATAAACAATTAAAAATTTTAGAGGAATAATTAATGGGTAAAGCTCCTGACACGCCCTCTACAGGAAGAGAGAGGAACTACAGAAACTCCGCCTCCTTCAGACAGGAAGTGGAACTACAGAAATGTGCAGCGTACCAGAAACGGAAGCACGATTTGGTTTTCAGGAGCGAAGGCCAGAACTCCGTCAGCTCCTCCTCCACTTCCTGGAACATAAATCAGAGGTTTTACAGAAACATCGCCCTCTGCAGGAAGACGTTGTTTGGAGGAAATGGGTCCCATCTAGGAATCACCTGGAGGTCAGAGTGGAAGATGGGCCAGCAGGTGCAGCAGGACTGGGCGTGAAGAGGCCTGGAACAGAGCAAAAGGAGCATCAGCTTCGTTTTAAACCCATTCATTCATAAAGCAACAGACAGGAAATGAATCGGTTGGTACCAGAGGCCGTGGATGGTCCAGCTGCTGATGTTCTCAGGAATCATGCACTGAGTCTCTTTGTACAAAGACTGATGGAAACAAACAGAAATCTCATGTTCATGTCCTCATTTAAAACTGCCTGTAGTCAACCTTCTTGTCCCACATCAGTGTCTGACCTCACAGATGAAAGCTTTTCTCAGTAGAATTAATGTGACATAAATGGGAAATCGTTCTGACATTCTGAATGTTTCATCTTTTCTCAGCGAGAATCTGAACTCAGTCGCTAATTCATCCTCAGATCAGTTTGTTTTTCTTCCTTTGATTTGTCCTTCCTGCTTTCCTTCTTTATTTCTGATTATGTGTTTGGGAACCGAAATGACCTCAGATTACAGTGATGATGATGACGTCACGCACCTGGCAGAAGCCCCCCGGCCACTGCAGGGTGAACAGCATGCATCTCCAGCTGCAGTTGGGCTGCAGCGGTTCGGCGCCGCGGCGGCCATATTTGTAGTCCTCCCACAGTTCCTGTTGCGTCACGGAGCCGCGAGGCAGCAGCAGGAAGAGCGCCGGACTCACACTGACCAGCAGGGGCAGCACTGAGCGAGACATCTGGAAAAACTCAGCCGCAGCTTCAGGTTCCGGGTCTGAACAGGAGGGATCCTGTGGGGGGCGCCAGAGAGCCAGCAGCAGAAACAGGAGAACAAGTTTAGATTCGGTTGATTATCTGACAGGAAGTGAAAAGATTCTCCATTTTTAACGGTTTGATCCAAAGCAGATCATCTTGTTTCATTAAAATCTGCTTCATAAAATCGGCAGAAACAAACTTCTGGCTTAAATAAAACATTTTGAGTCCAAATCTGTTGGAATAAATGAAGACAAAAACTTCATGTTTCCTAGTTTCTCGACTGGATCTGGTAGAAAATGTGAAGAATCTGAAGAACTCACCGACCTGCGAATCCGTCGGCTGGAAATGAAGAAGTGAGACGATTCGGCTCAGCAGGGGGCCGAAGTCACAGACTATAAACACACTTTCCATTCACACTTCCCCCGAAACCAGAACCCACAGGCTGATCCGGGCCGGGCCTGCAGAACCATCAGAACCAACAGAACCATCAGAACCCACAGGCTGATCCGGGCCGGGCCTGCAGAACCAGCAGAACCAACAGGCTGATCCGGGCCGGGCCTGCAGAACCATCAGGACCAACAGAACCAACAGGCTGATCCGGGCCAGGCCTGCAGAACCAGCAGAACTATCAGAACCATCAGAACCATCAGAACCATCAGAACCAACAGAACCTGCTGTCAGAAGGTCCATGCTGTGTTTTCCTTCCCTGCAGACTAGCAGCAGCGACTCTTGTCTGGTGCTGCTGGTGGTTTTAATGGTTTTATGGATTTTAAATCTCGGAATCGGCTCCGGCTGATGTTGGGCTGACTGGACTCTAAACTTCACTGAGCTGCAGATGCAAAGCAATATTTACTGACTTTCTAAATATCTTGTCATTATTTTATTGTTTCTTGCATCATTTCCTTTTCTGTCTAAAGTTCATTCAAACAGCAGCTGGTCAAACCGATCAATAGAAACACACACTGATCATTCCAACCAGTAATCAAACCAACCAATCAGAGCAGCAGCAGACAAACGCTAACCGATCAGTCTGATCAATTTATCAATATTGAAACTTTCCTGAAGTAACGACTTCAATCATTAAACAGAGATTTAATGTGAAGGAAGCAAAGAGCTGGTGGGTCAAACAGAACCAGAACAGAACCAGAACAGAACCAGAACAGAACCAGAACCAGAACAGAACCAGAACCAGTTCTCTCTCTCTGTGGCAGCCATGTTGGTGTCAGCTGAGCTTCAGGCAGGGCAGTAAATATGTCCAGCAGGGACAGAGTGTGTGTGTGTGTGTGTGTGTGTGTGTGTGTGTGTGTGTGTGTGTGTGTGTGTGTGTGTGTGTGTGTGTGTGTGTGTGTGTGTCTCTCTCTCCCTCCTGCAGCTGATCGTAGTTTGGCAGTCGCTCAGAAACTGCCAGCCAGGAAGTGTGTGTGTGTGTGTGAGTGTGTGTCCTTGAAGGAAACGGAGGCAGCAGCTCGACATGAATCGCCTTCTGGTGAGCGCGGCTCTTCTTCTTCTTCTGTTTTTCTGTGTTGTGATCAGTTTGAGGTGAACTTTGACCCGCTGAAGGTCAGAGATATGATCCGACCCGGAGTGTCGGCTGCAGGTTCGACCTCAGACACACACCTGCTGCTCACCTGCTGGGCCGAGTGCAGCGCCGCACGTCCGCCATGACGGCAGCGACACACACACACACACACACACACACACAACACACACACACACACACACAGTCAGTCGGTCGGGGAAACATCCCTGCTGCCTTTTTCTGGGTTCCTGGGTTTTTTATTTTCTGCCTGATGATAAAATATTTCATGTTTATTTGTTCAAATTCATAAACATTTAAACGGCAGCAGGACGACTCCAGGAATTAGCCTGCCTCATTCGTCCTCCGTCTTTGTCACGATGTGGACGGAACCAGAACCGGTCCGGACTTCAGGGACCCATCACTTATGACCATGCACCCTGCTGCAGGTCAAAGGTCACGGAAAAGCTTACCAGCAGCTCTGCAGACCCCACACATGCTGGACATGACCTGCTTTAAGCTCCGCCTCCAGGGCGGCGCCACCCAGTCGGACCCGGCCCGCAGCATGACGCTGCAGCCTCAGTGATTTTTTTTCATGTCTGAATTTTTGTTCAGATTTTTCTGGAAAACTTGTTTTCTGATTTTTCTGCCCCGGTTCTGGTTCTGCAGCTCTGACCCGGTCCAGAACCTTCAGGTTAACATTTTGTCTCTGGATTGAAGTTCATCATAAATCCTTTGAAGTAAAAAGTTTAATCTGAAATCTTTGATTCAGATTTTTTGGAGAAAAAAAAGTAAATTTATTTCTAAAGATCTTTTTCTGAATTTCTCCACCTTAATGACCTTTAACCCCATCAGACCCAGTAGGTCTGGCTCTGGTTCTGGTCAGCTGATGACCTCCAGTTGAACTGTGTTCTGTTTTGTTTGTTTGGTCGAGTTCTGCTCTCTGATTGGTTCTGGCGTCGTATTACTGTGACAGGATTGGCTCTGGTGCAGGAAGTCCCGCCCCCAGCTGTCCAGTCTGACCTTCCTGTGCACAGAGAGACGTCCAGGTTCTTAAAGAGACAGTATAGGTTTTGCTCCAGCTTGGCCTAGTCAAAGCCTGGCTCTCTCTAGGATAGGACTTTGATTAGGCCACTGCAGCACCATTAGTTTGTTTATTTAACCCATTATGTTCAGTTCTAGAAAAGTTCATCCAGATTAGATCTGATCTGGAAATAATGTTTAAACAGGACATGAAGAAATGATCCAATAGAACCAGAACCAGAACCAGAACCAGAACTTGGATTACTCCAGATTAAATCATCTGGATTAAAACAAACGATTCAAAGGAGGAAAAATTAACAAAAAACAAAAAGAAAAATATCTTAATTTTCTAAAAACTAGAGACAGAAACCAGAAACCAATTGATCAGCATGTATTGATCGGCTCTGATTGGTCCTGGTTTTCCACTCTGCAGGTCACAGATCATAATTATTGATCAGCTATCAGAACCTGCAGAACACTTTGCATGCTTAGGAAAAGCTGATTAGTGCGGCTGAACCTGGAGTTTCTGGAGTTTTTCTGGTGTTTTCCTTCATGTCTTCAGAAGCTCAGCAGATTAAGCCCGGTCCGTTTCTGTGTCCAGAACGTTCCGGTGGCGGCCGTCCGGGCCTTCAGCAGCTCCAGCAGGAACCTGAAGAACAAAGTTCCTGAGGCGCAGAAACTCTTCCAGGTGAGAGTCCGGGCCGGACCCGAAGACCCGGCAACAGAACCTTCAGAACAGCACTTCCTGATCTGGATCGGTTTGACCGGATCGGGTCCAGAGAAACCAGCAGCGGTTCAGAATATTCCACCTGGAGTTTTTAATAAGCTCCAGTTTTTTACCGAAGAGGCTCCTAAACTACCAGTTACCCTGGTGATCAGGTGTAGTGGTTGCCATGGAGGTCACATGAAGGTTTTGCTGATGCAGCAACAAAAGTTCAGTCGATTATTGGGATCAATCACCACGAGTAACTCTGCAAAGTTCAAAAACAGTTTTATTGAGAAACGATCAGCAGAGAGTCCAACATCAGTCACTCAGATCCTTCCGGCGCCGTGACCTCAGTGACCTCAGTGACCTCAGTGACCTCAGTGACCTCAGTGACCTCAGTGACCTCCAGGAGGCGCTGTCGGGTCGACATGCAGTTTGATTCCTCTATATTATTATCATTAATGCGTTGATAGCACTAAATGAAATCTAAACTCTGAATTTTAAACTTTTGACCAATTGTGTCGCAGTCTGTCGTCCTCTCTGATTGGCTGAAGCTCGTCTCAGACAGGACGTCCTCTCTGATTGGCTGAAGCTCGTCTCAGACAGGAAGTCCTCTCTGATTGGCTGAAGCTCGTCTCAGACAGGACGTCCTCTCTGATTGGCTGAAGCTCGTCTCAGACAGGACGTCCTCTCTGATTGGCTGAAGCTCGTCTCAGACAGGACGTCCTCTCTGATTCTGTTCTGTAGCAAACTGAGGCGTAGGTTTGAATCCCTCAGCTAAAAACATGTCAGAAATGAAGCAACTTCCTCGAAGCGCCACCTGATGGCCCTGTGGTTTCCATGGTAACAGGAAGACAACGGGCTGCCGGTCCATATCAAGGGAGGAACCAGCGACGTTCTGCTGTACCGGGCCACCATGTTGCTGACTGTCACAGGTAAGAGGCGCTCGCTTCAACAGACTCAGCACAGATTTAGAAAATAAGATTCTATTCACCAAAAGTTAAACGTTAATAGTTGGAGGTGATGGTTTGGTTTTCTGATCAATCGATTCCTAAACTAATCATTGGCAGCAGAAGATGGAATGTGTTCATGAACACGAGCCGCATCTGGACCTTATCGGGTTTGACCAGAACCAGGCTGAAGGCCACCTGGTCGGGTCGGAGCGGCTCAGAAAGCTGCAGGCCTCCTGGCCAGCAGGGGTCACTGTCCAGCAGGGTCGCTGTCCTGCAGGGGTCGCTGTCCAGCAGGGGTCGCTGTCCAGCAGGGGTCGCTGTCCTCCAGCAGGGGTCGCTGTCCAGCAGGGGTCGCTGTCCAGCAGGGGTCGCTGTCCAGCAGGGGTCACTGTCCAGCAGGGGTCGCTGTCCTCCAGCAGGGTCGCTGTCCAGCAGGGGTCGCTGTCCAGCAGGGGTCGCTGTCCTGCAGAGTCGCTGTCCTCCAGCAGGGGTCGCTGTCCTGCAGAGTCGCTGTCCAGCAGGGTCGCTGTCCTGCAGGGGTCGCTGTCCTGCAGGGTCGCTGTCCTGCAGGGTCGCTGTCCTGCAGGGTCGCTGTCCAGCAAGGGTCGCTGTCCTGCAGGGGTCGCTGTCCAGCAGGGGTCGCTGTCCAGCAGGGTCGCTGTTCAGCAGGGGTCGCTGTCCTGCAGGGTCGCTGTCCAGCAGGGTCGCTGTCCTGCAGGGTCGCTGTCCTGCAGGGGTCGCTGTCCTGCAGGGTCGCTGTCCAGCAGGGGTCGCTGTCCAGCAGGGTCGCTGTCCAGCAGGGTCGCTGTTCAGCAGGGGTCGCTGTCCAGCAAGGGTCGCTGTCCAGCAGGGGTCGCTGTCCTGCAGGGTCGCTGTCCAGCAGGGGTCGCTGTCCTGCAGGGGTCGCTGTCCTCCAGCAGGGGTCGCTGTCCTGCAGCAAGGGTCGCTGTCCTGCAGGGGTCGCTGTACTGCAGGGGTCGCTGTACTGCAGGGGTCGCTGTCCAGCAGGGGTCGCTGTCCTCCAGCAGGGGTCGCTGTCCAGCAGGGGTCGCTGTCCAGCAGGGGTCGCTGTCCTCCAGCAGGGGTCGCTGTCCTCCAGCAGGGGTCGCTGTCCTCCAGCAGGGGTCGCTGTCCTGCTATGACAACCACCTGCTGCAGATCTCCAATAATTTAAAGAGAAAGAAAGATGGAGACTCATATTTAAAGTCTTGTTTTCTCCATGTTTCTAATTTTATTTATGTCGGTTTTAAACTCGCCGAGGATCAGGAAGCAGCCAGATTCTTCTTCTACTCATGTCTGGTCTCTGCAGGAACCTGCTACGCCCTCTACTGGCTGCTGGTTGCCTCCATGCCAAGGAAGAAGGAATGAGATGATGAGCATCGCAGCAACGCAGCAACGCAGCAATGATACACTGAAGCCAGCCTTCCTCTCTGATGCTGAAACATTTAACCAACCAGAGGAAAAACTCAAATTTCAAACTCCTACAAATTTATTAAGGTTCTTTGCTCTAAAAGCCTCAGAAACCCTTAACATGGTCGACTAACATCAAAGATATGTCAGTCGTTAATAAAAGTGAGAAATGATGTAAAAGTTGTTTCTTTACATATTTTGTAGCATTAGCCCAGAAGCTAAGGCTGTAAACGTTTGGAGACCTTTAAAGCATCAGAAATGGACTTTGTTCCAAAAGGGTCATGTGACAGGAAGTCCAGTTAGGATTATAAACTTCCTGTAAAAGGAAGGACTCTTCCTGTTAGTGTCGAGTTTTTGCTCTCCACTGTGGCCACATGCATGCTGGGTCTGCATGTGGCAGACACAGCTGCTGCCCCCTGCTGGTCAGGAGGAGTGAATGCAGAAAGTCAAAAACTGCAAACCGTAGAAAGTTTAATATGTATAATTATTTGATCTATAATTCATTAACAGATGGAATCTGTTCATAACAAACTCAAAGGATTTCTTTCTGAAGTTCCTTTGCTGCTGTTTGAATGAACTGACTTGGAGAATCACAACCAGATGCAGCTCAGTGTGAACACAGCATGCTGGAAGCTGAATCTATTGTTGAAGGTCTTTGTAGCAGATTTTGGTTTGCGTCACATCTTTAGATGATAGTCACCCTGAATGAAACTTTCCAACTTTTTATTCATTTCTACATCCTGACCATAAATCATCTTTCTCCCTAAATGCTCATTTTCTTTTCCATTACATTTTAAATCAGTTTCTGGTCAAACAACAGAGTCAATGTTGGTTAATGACAGACAGTAGAATATCATAAGAACAAAAATAAAAGGATAAAAAGTGAGTTGTTGCTCAGAGCCGGTTTATAAAATCCAGTGCAGCATCCGGCCTCAAACTTTCTTGTTCCTGAAATTTTACACTTTGTAGAAAACTCAGAGTCTCACATCAGAGGAAATTTGATACAATCTGGGGATTTTTGAAAAAGATGCAGTTCTAGTTCTTTTGCTTAAAGAACAACTTGCAGCTGCAGTCCAGGGGAAATTCAACCTGCTGACGGGGTTTCCTCGGCCAGAGAGCAGGGGTCTGAGCTCCTCATTGGCTCAAATTTCAGCATCATTTCCTCCAGCTCATCTCTGAGCCGCACCCTGACAGCTGTTCATCACTCTGCCCACTTCCTGTTCTCTGCTGCTGGCCACGCCCCCCTGCGTTTCCTGCACCAGCCGCCGCCCACCCTGATGGACTCCAGGAGGCGGGTTCTGGAGTCCTGATGGACTCCCAGGGGACGGGTTCTGGAGCAGCAGCTGCCTGCTCCACATGAGGTCAGAGAGGATTGATGATCTTAATGTTGTTGATCAGATCGACAGGCAGCATGAACAATAATTGTGTGATGCCTTGAACCCAGGGGCCACAGTGGGTCCCTGAGGGCCGCCATCCTGCATGTTTTAGTCTCTACCTGGTTTAACGCACCTGGATCCAATGATGGATCGTTAGAGGCCTAAGAAGAACATGGACCTGCTGAAAAGGTTGTTGGTACCACCAGGGAGAGAACAGAAACATGCAGGATGCAACCGGCCCTCCAGGACTACTTTGGCGACCCCTGGTGTCAAGGGTCAGGGTCAGGGTGAGGTGTAACGTTTCAGCGTCTCGGACTGCATTGACCATCAGCTTCCGGACCAGGTGAAGCCAGAAGTCTGGATCTTCATGATGGTGCTGAGCCAGACTGCGGTCTGAAGGAACCGGATCAGGATCCGGTCCGGGTTACTAATGTAATCCTGCTTCTGGGCCTGTTTTCACAAGTCTGCAGAACTGAGTCCAAATACAGACGGAACAGTTGCGTTGAGTGTTTGAAGGGCTCCCCCTAGTGGTGACTCAATCACAGGCTGCATGACTGAAGCTTCTTCCTCTGAACTGATTCTGCTTCAGTAAAACCAAGCAGAACATGAACTGCCACCAGGTGTGTGCGTTTACAACCACCAGCAGGGGGAGCTGCTTCCCCCTTCATGCATGACCCCAAAGTGATAAAGACAAGTCAACACAATGATGACTGTTACACTTACAAGCTTCAGATAACACTTTTCCAGCTTGTTATATATATATATTTCAGATTCTTTGCTTGATTGCGTCGTCTCCCCACCACAATATTCCTGACTCGGCGTAAACCGCAGTGACGTTCAATCCACTGGATATTAAAAAGCATCAACTGGCTGTTAATGATTTGAACATCGTGCAGCTACTACAGAGTGACTGTCCAAACATAAAGAAAGGTCCAGACGGCGTCTGTCCCCGTCAGGCCAGACTTGGTGGAGACGTGTCCACACCTGTCCACAGGAAGTTACGTCCATGAAATGATTTCTGCCATGGAGTCACTTTCCCCCCTCTGGTCCTGAAACAACCAGGCTTCTTCTCAAAATGAGTGCAGTTTTCCTTCATCCTGTCCACCTCTGATGGGAAACATCATGGAGCTTTTTGGACCAGGATCCTGTTCAGAACCCTGCAGAACTGAGTCCAGCAGGATCCTGTTAGCTGAAAGGCAAAGTCCAGATTGTCATGTCGCCTGAATTTGTTTGGATGCAGATAAATGAGTCAATGAATCAGGAGGTTTTGCTCCCGTTTTGGCTCAGATGTTTTAAAACTGAGGACACTCCAACAGGTCCAACACAGAGGACGGGCCCAGAGGTCATGACATCCCTCAGTTTGGGGTCATGACCTCAGCAAGAGGCTTCTGCTGGGCTTTGTGTTTCAGAGCCGATTTCTCTGCTTGTATTCCCACTTAGTCTGGAGGCAGAACTGATGGAGCGCCACCTTGTGGTGAGTTGAGCTCTGGTTCATCATGTCTGCATCCTGCAGCTTTTAGATGCATCTCGTCTCCAACACGCCTGGATCAAGTAGTCTGCTGGTTACCAGCTTGTTGCAGAGCTGAGTGAATGCTGGGAATGCAGACGTGTTGGAGCAGAGCTGCATCTAAACGTTTTCCCTGGAGGACTGGAGTTGGTGACTCCTGCAGCTTGGAGAGCTGAAGAGAAGAAGACCTTCCTCTCATCTGAATGAATAACTTGATTGTATTCTGATGTGTTGGGGAAGAGTCGCTAAAATAAAGCTTTCAGTTTCTCCAGTTGTTCATTGTCGCACTGGGCTTCAGGAGATGTTGGACCAGAGCAGCTTTCGGTCATTTCCTACCACTTCGTCTCACTGCTCAGCAGAACTGAGGGAAGATATCTGCACATGTTGGAACCAAACAGAAGGAAACCGTCACATGTAAAGTTCAGCAAACAAAATTGAATGTAAGAAAAAGTGTAGAATGAAAAAAGGTGAGAATAGAAGAAGAAATTGTGAAGTGCACAATTCAGAGACTGAGATCCAGACAAAAGTTAGGGAGCAAAAACAATCTTTAATACGTCTGCAGACGGAGAGCAAGAAATCCACTGCATTAGGCACAAATTAGGATCCGCTCTGAGGAACCCAGAGCTGCATAGTTACTTTATTCATCTCTCTTTACTACCGAGGCGGAGACTCAATCTTCGAAGACCAAACAAAAGAAACAATACGAAACCTTGTATGCTCATTCACTGTAATGTTTACGGGAGGTGAAAACTAAACACTCTGTCTCCATGCAAGGAAGGCCACGGGAAAAACAGCCAGTTCCCAAATAACTGTCTGGGGAAGTTCAGCAACCCTGGAAACTTACTGCAGTAGACACATCTTGGTTCATTAGTTTGTACACCGTTTCCAGCTGCACAGAAAAACACCTTGACTGTGATTCAAAAAACATTACATTTATATGACACATAAAGGAACATCATTTAATACGAATAAAACCTCTTCACAATTTCACCCTTTTTTTTTTTTTTTTTCTGGGAGCAAAAAACAATCAAGTGAATGAAATCCATAAATGATCAAATGTCTTGAATGGTAAAATGAAGCAACTGATAAAATGATAAAATGAATTTAATATAAAATGAGTTTAAATTGTAATAATAATGGAGTAATGCAACAAAACAGGTTGAGAAACACAAAACATCAGGTCACCTTCGCCATCAAGTAATGGTTGCAAATATGAACATCATAGGAGTGTTTCAGCAAGTATTTTGACCTCTTGTGACATTAAGCAAAGCAAAAACCTGGAAGCAAAAATTTCACATTAAAGATAATCAAAAGAAAGTGTCAATTTACTTGTACTTGGGATAATGAGAAAATCTTGGTCGCTAGAGAAAACAAATTCAACCTCAACATCAGGCGAGTTAGGAGGCCCATGGAACTGGGCCACAGTTGTAGTCAACAAAGCATTTGAGACAGAATCAGAAACGGACGACTGCACAGGATCATTATCCAACCGGGCATCTGAACCAGTCATCAGCCGTGAGTTTGTAAAACAGTAATACCTGTGGGAGAATACGGTGAGACAACAGTAACATCCCCCCTCACAAAGAACAAAAGAAATTGTGGGTCCTTTCCTGATGAATGAGTATAGATAAAACCTCCAACAGTTAGATAATATGGGCAAAGATGAGGGTGGTATGATTGAACCTTTCGCTGTGTTTACCGTGATGTGTAGTCTTTGCGTCGTTTTACCCATCGTAAAAAGTTTCATATGTTGTCTGGCGTAGGGAGTTGTTCCCCATTTCGGCGTCCAGATGTTTCTCATCTGCTACGAGTGCAGACGTGATCCTAACCTCATTCGTCATGTACCACTTACATTTTTTGTAGTTCTGTCCGTTACCTGATCCAGTATTGGTGTTCAAGGCTGACCAGGGAATCATGAGGCCAACTGAAGAATCAAAGGGCACACACACCTGAAGGCCCCTTTTGAAGCCTGCTTTTGTTCACACAATTGTATCTCACGGTTGGTAGCGTCTGCTCCTGTTGAGTTCTGCTGGGCCTTCTGGAACTGCATGCATGTGATCAGCATAGTATGGCATCCTTAATCCACGTCGGTGTTCTGCGACGCTGCCTCGGCCCCATGTTCTTAATGCTGCCTCAGCTAGGCGTGGTCCAACCTACTGAGTGAGCTGTGTTGGCAACTCTATTTTTTCAGAGGCTTGGTGGAGCCTCGTTCTCTGGGCTCTGGACTGGTCCCGCAGGATGTGACGATGGAACCCGCAGGATGTGAACTTCTTACAGTGGCTGGTGTGAACCCAGGTCGACCCTCCGTGACCTTAAGAGTGGTGTGTGTCGTCAAAAGCACTTGAAACGGTTCCAGCCTGTGGGAACGCCGGTTCTTCCTCCTGAAATTTTTAGTAAACAAAAAATCTCCAGGCTGGACATTATGTAATGGTTGCTCGCTGGCCCAAGTCGTCCTCCTTGGGCCTGTCGTCTTTAATTGATCTGTTAGAGAAATTCAGTAGTTAATCATGTTGTCATTACATGTTATTAAATAATTCCAGGTTTCATCGGCGGTCCCATTCCGGTGGTTTGAGAAATCCTGCAAACAAGATTATGTTTTTATCTTCTTCGCATGCGCATATTAGTTCAGTGTTTATTAAACACAGAACATGTAGACAACAGTACATGTAAACAACATTACATGTAAACAAACAGTACATGTAACAAACATTACATGTAAACAACATTACATGTAAACAAACATTACATGTAATAAACATTCACTCCAACATGAAACAGACACAAACAACGTTGGACGCCATCAGAAGTCAGTCAGTCAGATTTGCATTACAGTCAAATACTTACAGTCAGTGCTCATTTATATACATATTTTCTTAAATTGAAATGGCCAAATTTACATGAAGCTTCAAATAGAGAAAAGTACTTTTAACAACATATATCAATGTTTAAATTCAACTCTAATGTACAGGATCCTGTTTTAAAATTCAGCTTTGTGTACACATACAGAAGAGATCAATATATAATTTAGAATTACAGCACATAATTTATCATGTTTCTGCTGAAGTACTTCATTAATTAAAAAAACAGTTTTGTTATAACTAATAGTCCCTGGACAACTAAAGGTATTTTAATCTGTCTAAGTTCAAATTTATCACAGCTGTATGTTATAGGAATTACCTCTGGTCAATTGAAGCGTACAAAATCAGATTAGAATACCACGATGTCTGGAGATGCCATAACAGCCCCTTCTGCACTTGCCACTGCGCGCAAACTTTGTAGCAATGCAGCTGCTACAGGATCTAATTTGGAAAATAGGTGACCAATTTCAATTTATCACCATGTTTATGGAGCAAAACAAAAAACCCTCTTCTCATCTAACCATCTCTATAAAACATTCAGGAAAGATCGGGAAAAATCCCAGAGTTTGAGTGTCTGCAGGTGTTTTTTCAGCGCTTTGAATGACGTCAAACCAACTTCAATTCACATTTTACTTCAATCCTATGTAATGTGTGAGCTCATTAATAATCCAAATCCCTTGTCATGACATACTTCTCTCAGAGGTTTCTCAATCTCAGCATAACCCGGTATGAAATGCCTACAATAGCCACAGAGTCCTAAAAAGGACATCAGTTGTTTCTTCGTTTGAGGGAGAGGTATGTTCACAATCGCTTCAATGCGGTTGCTGGAGATAGCTCTGCCTTCGGAGGACAACCAGAAAAAGACACAGAAGGCTGCACAAACTGCAATTTGCTTCTTTTAACTTTATGACCATTTTCTGCTAGGAAATGAAGTAATTTCATGCTTTCAGAAACACACATTTTGATTGGGAGCCGCCAATAATAAATCATCAACATACTGCAAAAGAGCTGTCTGTGGTGCGAGTGTCAAATGTGAAAGATTGTCATTAATGCTTGGTGAAAAATGGTTGGACTCTCACAGTAGCCCTGACAAAGTCTTGTAAATGTGTAAAGTTTATCATTAAACTGAAAAGTGAACCAGAACCGGCTTTCTGGGTGAATTGGAACACTGAAAAAGCATTTGCTAAATCAATGACTGTGAAAAACATGCTGCCTGTTGGAATTTGTGATAAAATAGTGTATGGATGGATTTGGAAGAATAGCTGCTCTGGCAATGACAGACCTGTTAACTCTCTAAGATCTTGAACCTCCACTCAACAGGTTGATCAGGAGCACTGAGTTTCTTCACAGCTTCTGGTTTGAAAGGGTATTGTTTTTGATTGGGATAGTAATTTGATTTGGGCATTATGTGAATTGGTTTTTCATTTTTTATTATTATTTTTTTATTATTAAGCCCACATCATATTTGTAAGAAGCAAATCATGGTGATGGCAAAAAATAAATACTTTCTGAGTGACATATACAATCAGTTGTTTCATGTGTTGCTTTTGCTAGAGGGCCAAAAGTTTTCCATCCGTCTCCTGGATGTTTTGCCAAAGAGACATAAGGAAATAAATTTTAAAAAAAATCAGTCAGTGTGAAGAAGCTCAGTTGCTCAGGTGACAATCAGCAAAAAAAAAAGCAGGTCTCAGCGGACCAGCATATTTGAGTTGCATGCAGCAAAGATGGGCGTGTCAGAAGGGAGGAGTCACTCAGCTCATCAGCTGGATCTATCTACATCACAGTGGAAGTGGGAGGGACTCTTTCACGAGCCATTTGCAAAATGGCCTCAGATTGTCGGTCTGTAATCAACCATTTAAAAATGTAGCAGACTTGGTGTTTTGAACAAATTAAATCAGTTGGAGTTTGTTATGGACACGTAGCCCCGTGTCTGAACATTTAATAGACAGAAATAGTGAGCATGGGGAGGACTTGGTGTATTTCAGTTGTATATTTTACATATGTGTTGTGTGTTGGTACTTGCGATTTGCTGAACCAGAGGTTGCTCCAACGGCACCAGGTCTAGTTAGCTGGAATACCCTCCACGATGTCCTGTAAATCCACCTCTTAAAGGAAAAACTTGACCCATCTGGGGAAGCCTCTATGGTTGACATCAAATCTTCCTCCTCGGCCTCTGTGCAACCTCCTGGTTGTTTCTGAATTGTCTCTGGAAGCAGTCTCTGGCCCAATGTCCTTGTTGTCCATGGATTAACAAACATCAGGCAGTGTGTTGCTTTGTGACTGTCCATACTGTCCTTGCTGTGGCTGTGGATGTTCAGGGCAGCCTGATGAAGCATGGTGAGTTGGCAGAATTGTGTAGTTGGGTCTCTTCAACCTCACGGTCCATACATGGGACACTGAAGATCAGTCGAAGCACCTGGTGAAAGCTTAGGCTGGTGTTGTAGAGTTTCTCAGCAACTGCAGTAAAAACTCTTTTCTTCTTCCCCTCCAGGGGAGCATAGTGTCTTCCTCCTCAGTCTTCGGGCCGTAGGGATAATGGTCATCAATGTCCAAAAAAAAGTCTTTCCTCAGTGAGGCTGATGGTTGGTAAGGAGGAAGAGCTGGATAGCGTCTAGCGATGCCAGGTGGACCTGTTGGTGCCGCTGGAAGCAAGCTCATCGCAGCAGGTTGACATGTTGGGAAGAGAGAAAAACAATCATTAGCTTTCTCATTTTTCTGCTCTTGTTTGTTTTGTGATTCCTGTTTCCAAACTCTAAGTGTGTCCGTGTGTGCATACATTATTTGTAAATGGTCAAGTGAGATTTTTTTTTTGTTTCAGCAGCTGTTGTTTCTGTAGCACTAATTTTTCTTCCAATTCCATCAAATGCTCGGGTTCAAATGACCCATATTTAGGAAATCCAAATTTAAGATGCCATGGCAAATACTGAACACATGATTCCCCATGTTTTCTAATCATCTCTTCTACAATCGGCCCAAGAGGAACATAACTAAATCCATCACTAGGCTCTTTAGAAGAGAAAAGTCCCATTCTCTAATTTTACAAACCTCTTACAATTTAAAACGTTTATTTGAAACGTTGACTTCAATTCTCAGTCTAATTTGATAGACCTACAACTCAGTCTAAATTAATAGACCTAGGGGAACTCAGTCTGAATCGACAGACCTACAGGACTCGGTCTAAATAAATAGACCTACAAACCTTAAGATGTTTTGCAGCCCCTCTCAGCTCTGTTTTTATCCTGTCGTGGCTGATCCAACCCGGTGGAGCACCAGAAGAGTCCTCTTTTTCTCAGACAGACCTGCCAGCGGTTTGGAGGAAAAGCAGTTTGAAGGTTTGGTGATCAGCCCTCTCCTGAGGTCCACCGACTTGGATGAACCAGCGAAGGTTCCCGGCCAACGCACCCAAATTGTGAAGTGCACAATTCAGAGACTGAGATCCAGACAAAAGTTAGGGAGCAAAAACAATCTTTAATACATCTGCAGATGGAGAGCAAGAAATATACTGCATTAGGCACAAATTAGAATCCGCTCTGAGGAACCCAGAGCTGCATAGTTACTTTATTCATCTCTCTTTACTACCGAGGCGGAGACTCAATCTTCTAAGACCAAACAAAAGAAACAAAGGAAAACATACGAAACCTTGTATGCTCATTCACTGTAATGTCTATGGGAGGTGAAAACTAAACACTCTGTCTCCATGCAGGGAAGGCCACGGGAAAAACAGCCAGTTCCCAAATAACTGTCTGGGGAAGTTCAGCAACCCTGGAAACTTACTTCAGTAGACACATCTTGGTTCATTAGTTTGTACACCGTTTCCAGCTGCACAGAAAAACACCTTGACTGTGATTCAAAAAACATTACATTTATATGACACATAAAGGAACATCATTTAATACGAATAAAACCTCTTCACAAAATGAAAACAGAACTTAAAATAGTCAAGCGCAGAGTTTTCATGGAAGCGCAAACTGCCACAAAGCAGCAAAGACCAATTATTTAGTTGGTTGGTTAAATATTTTAGGCGGACCCTGTCCTTTACACTCCGCTCCAGCAGGTGGCGGTGTGCGCCTCGAGGCGGCGTTCTGCTCCACCATTAAACACAAAGAAGCTGCCGAAGACGAAGAAGATGGAGAAGAAGGAGCGCCGTCCTTCGTGTTTTGTCGGGTTTTTGTCCGCGGAGCCGCAGCGGGAGAGTTAATGAAGCTGTAAGGTGGAAACAGCAGTTGGTGAACTCTGGGAAGAAGAGAAACGGTTTGAGGCTCCGCTGGAACCGCTCAGTAACTGTTAAAGGAAAGTTTGGAGAGAGAAAAGCTAGCAGAGATGTGGAGACAGCAGGTCCAACAGCGACTGGACGCAGCGGAGCAGCAGGACTTGGATTATAATCCGCTGGACCGGCTCCACAGATTAGGTCTGTATGCTTCTGTCAGCTCTGGGTGTTTAGCTGCAGCTTTACGCACCGAGAGAACAGCTCTGATGGATTGGCACGTCAGCGCGGCCGCCATGTTGTGAGTGGCAGAAGCAGTGGTGTTTGAACAGCTTCCAGTCCAGAGACATGAAATGATCTCATGGCTTCTTCTCGGAATTCGGTGCATTTTTGCAAACCATATCATGCAAACCACATTTTTTGAGTAAATCCAGAAATTGAAACATCCACGTGTCTTGGTAATGTAACATGTAAATGTATTTAAAAAATTATGTTTTGAAAACTTTTCTGTGTTGAAGCGTAGAGGTCTGGCTGTTAACTGCTCACTGAATATAAAACCAATGAAAATAGCCAGAAACTGCAAGTTATTTCTACTAATATAAACATTTTTACATCTACTTTAACCGAAATAAAAATATGACAGAAAAACACAAGAATTCTTTATAAAACTGCATTTTTTAACCATGTTCCTGCAGTAACACAAAATCCTCCCTCCGTTTTATAAATTATGGTTCAGTCCAATTTCCTGGAAGTGACGTCACTGCAGGCTCTTCCTGCTCCCACAGCAGACGTTTAATTGTTGGGAAAGTTTCTTACCTCTAATTGATTATTTGTATCTGCAGCTCAACCTTTTAACACTTTACATCAAGTTGTCATTTTCTATTTATCAGCCTAATTATCAGAATCAAATAAAATATATTTACAGTTATTTTAGTCAAAGAACAGGTGACCTCAAAGGAACTGGAAGAATTAGTTTAATTATGTTATGGAGTTAAACTCATCACTGAGAGCAAAAAATGTACCAAATTCAGAGAATCAGCCTGATGACTTAATATAGAATATAAATTCATATATTTTAAATTACCATTCAGGATGTTTTGACTTTGTCTCGTCAAAACATATTTTTAGGTATCTGGAATGTAATTATGGTAGCAGAGAGTTTATGTAGAAACTGCCTGCCATACGATTGAATTGTCAGAATAACTTTGACTCCATAATGCCTGAAATTATATCCAATTGAACAAAAAGCTTCAGGTCGACCTCCTGCCTCATCTCCAAATGATTAGTGGAAAATCTGCGTATTCTGAAAAACCTATTAGCAAGGTGTTTACAAAGCAGCCAATCCAAGAGCACCACTTATTATCCCTGCTCCTGATTGGCTGAAGCCGCAGTGCAGGTGAAGGTGACTAGATGTTAGCTGCTGTAGTGCTGAGATGATTTCTACTGTACATGTCGATGCATTTTGTGTTTCAACTATTTAAAACCCTTTAAATACCATCAGAGTTCAGAAACCAGGCTGCAATAGATCTTTGTTATTATTACAGGCAGCGCAGAAGCTCCGCCCACAAACATGCCGCTCTGTGTGGCGCCAAGGACACAAAAAGAAATCAGGCTTAATCATAATAACATTTCAGTAAAATGTGAGCTGTGCAGAGTGGAGGTGGTTCTGATGACGTATCGTCTGCTCTGGTTCTGGTGTAAACGGACCTGCTTTATGCATCGATTCATTTATTCATCGATTCATTCAGTCTGCATCCAAACTGCAACGGCCTGATGACAAGCAGGTGTTTGACGGCGTGTCTCCTGTGTTCCAGTGTTCCCTGAAGACGTTCAGAAGCTGCTGGTTAAAGAAGAACAGAGTCCAGACCCGGAGGAACCGGGCCCGGAGGAACCGGGCCCGGAGGAACCGGACCCGGAGGAACCGGACCCGGACCCGCTGCCCGTCCACATAAAGGAGGAAGAGGAGGAGCGCCGGATCGGTGCGGAGGAAGACCACCTGGATGACGCCACCAGGTTTCCAGTCATCAAAGTCATCGTTAAGAGTGAGGACGAGGAAGACGATGTTCTGTCGTCACGGCTTCACCAGCTGCAGCACGGAGACGTTCCCAGCAGCAGCAGCTCAGCGGAGCAGATGAAGGCAGAGGCGGATGAAGAGGATGGTGGAGCAGCTGATGAAGGCAGGATTCATGCCGACTCCTCCATTTCTTCAGAGACTGAGGTCAGCGATGAAGAGGATGACGCTGTGGCGCATCCTGACTCCCAGCCGAACCTCCCGTCACACGTTGCTTCTGAAACCACAGACATGAGCAAAGAGTGGAAGGAGAGCGGCGCTCCAGAGTCCCGGAGTGGAAGCGCCGTCACAGTGAAGTGTTTCATCTGTGGTGACTGTGGAAAAACCTTTAAAAAGAAACATTACCTGAACGAGCACATCAGGAGCCACACGGGGGAGAGACCGTTCGGCTGTCCCGTCTGCGGACAGAGGTTCAGCCTGAAGAAATGTCTGAACGTTCACGTGAGGAACCACTCTGGGGAGAAACCGTTCTGCTGTGATGTCTGCGGACAGAGGTTCAGCCTGAAGAGGACGCTGAACGATCACCAGAGAATCCACACGGGGGAGAAACCGTTCAGTTGTGATGTTTGTGGGCAGAGCTTCAGCCTGAAGAAGACTTTAAATGACCACCAGAGGATCCACACGGGGCAGAAACCGTTTAGCTGCGACGTCTGCGGGCAGACCTTCAGCCTGAAGACCACTTTAAACAGACACATCCAGATCCACACCGGACAGAAAGCCTTTCGCTGTGACCTCTGTGGACAAAGGTTCAGACAGAAATCCACTTTGAACCGACACATGACGATTCACACAGGACAGGAAACGTATCCCTGTGAGGTCTGTGAGCAGAAATTTGAGCGAAAGACGCATCTAAACATTCACATGAGAGTCCATGCAGGGCAGCAGGCGTTCTGCTGCGACGTCTGCGGACAGAGGTTTGACCGCAAGTCCAACCTGAACATCCACCAGAGGATCCACACCGGACAGAAACCGTACTGCTGCGGCTTCTGTGGCCAAAGGTTTGGCAGGAAGTCAAACCTGAACCGACACATGAGGATCCACACAGGAGAGAAATCCTTCTGCTGTGAGTTCTGTGAACAAAGGTTCAGCCTGAAGACGAGTTTAAACGACCACCTGAGGATCCACACGGGAGAGAAACCTTTCTTCTGTGACGTCTGTGGCCAGAGATTCCGACAGAAGTCGACTTTAAATATTCACATGAAGATCCACACCAGGCAGAAGTAAAGCTCTGCTGGTGGGGAATCACCCGGCTGACAGCCAGAGGTTCTCCTGGCGAGGGAACGGTCCGTCCTCCAGGTCCGTCCTCCAGGTCCGTCCTCCAGGTCCGTCCTCCAGGTCCGGCCTCCAGGTCCGTCCTCCAGGTCCGTCCTCCAGGTCCGTCCTCCAGGTCCGGCCTCCTGCGGGTTCCTGTTCCCTCCCTGGATTCTCACAGCTGAATCAAGTGATGGTTCATCAGCAGAGCCTCACTCCAGTCCTACAACTCGATTCTTTACCATCCAGCTGCAGAGGAACATTTCATATTCTCATGTTACCGTCCAGCTGTTGAGCCAACGTGAAGAAGTTCCCACAGAGTTTGTGGGAACTTCATGTCCTTTTATTTCAACATGTTCATTTCTAAAACCCTCTGGAGTCTCAACCGTCAGGTTTTTCTGCAGAACTAAAAGCTCAAACTATGAATGTGATGATGTGTGTTGGAAGGTTTGTATCTTTGCTCTTGAATGAATCTCTGGTGCATGAAACGGTTTTGCCAAAGTCTTAGTTTAGGAAAACTAAAAGAATATATGAGAAACCATGTAAAGGAAAACTAATTATTATTATTCTGTTTTCTGAGTCCGATGGTAAAGGAGCTGAAATATTCTGAGTGAATAAATCTGTTCTGTAAAGGAGTTCTGGGTTTTGACTTTGGAAACGATCAAATAAAGTTTGATCCAGTTGAGAAGGAGCCATAATTACCAGCAGAACCATCATGGCAGCAGGAAGGTCCAGAGACCAAGTCCTCCAAGTATTTACAGGTCCAAATATTCGGGGCCCCCGGGGGCCTTTAACCTCTGGTTGATTGTCTTTGTTGCTGGTAGAAACTGGTCTGTTTTCAGTCCCTGCTTCTGCATTGCCCTGGTAACGAGCTGCACCTGCTCAGGTAAGAGCGAGTGATGAACGAGTGATGAGGGAGTGATGAACGAGTGATGAGGGAGTGATGAACGAGTGATGAACGAGTGATGAACGAGTGATGAGGGAGTGATGAGGGAGTGATGAACGAGTGAAGAGGGAGTGATGAACGAGTGATGAGGGAGTGAAGAGGGAGTGATGAACGAGTGATGAGGGAGTGATGAACGAGTGAAGAGCTTCACCACAAACCGTTGGAAGCCAAACATTCATTTTTTAATAAAAGCCAAAACAGCAGGTATCGACATGTTGACTTCAGCAGTTTCAGGGACGGGCTTCATGAACTCGTCGAGGCCGTCAATCCATCAAACGTCTGAGAGTCAAACAGGAAGTTCTGCTGCAGCTGCTGGTGGTACCAGCTTTACAAGATGTTTTGACACCTTCATCCTCTTGGCTTCAATCATTAACAAGGAGTAAAATTTGACTGGGTTCTGTCCGGAAGTCGTGTGGGGCGTTCTGGAGGAAACGGGTCCAGGATGGAACAGCAACAGGTTGGGAACGAGTCGCCCCACCTGGTCCCAGGTGAATGAAATCTTTACTCCAGGAAGCGAACGCTCATCTTCTGATCGATGTTCACTTTCTCCAGCGACTGGAAACAGAACATTTAAAACCAAAGGTCAAGGGTCATCAGCTTATTTAAGATCTGAAGAATAAATACTCTTTTTTTAAACTTGTATTTACTCTGATACGTTTTATTTAGTATCTGCAAACAGGCCCCAGTGAACAGACATCCTCCAAGCCACCAGGGGGCGTCGTCCAACAGATGATCTGGAACCAAGCCACAGTAAGGCCAGAACACAGTGGGAGGAAGAAAGAAAACATGGAAGCTCTTACAATGTTGCATAAAGGCAGCAGCAGCATGACAGAGTCCAGACGCCCCCTGGTGGTCTGGAGGACTTGCTCTTTGTGAGTTTGCAGTTTTTCCCTCCTGTTGTATTTGCAGCATTTTGCTTCGCATTTGTTTGTGTGTTTTGCAGTTTGCATCATTCATATCATGTTCGCCGATTGTTTTGCCGTTTCTTGTGCATTGCCAGCTGTCGCCCATCTGGCATCTGCAATCAGGTTTATATGATCGGTCAGCTGCTTATCAATACATCATAAGAACACCGATCAGATCAATTTAAGTCATTAATTGATCAATGTGTCTCTAATCTGGCTTTTCTGGTGCTGAATTGGGATGCATGTCTCACCTCATCAGGACCGTTGAGGTTTTGTTCCATAAATCAGATTTTGTTCTGTATGTTTGGGTTGAATTGATGCGAGCTGAGAACCCGTCACATCCCTCCTGATGGACCGTCAGGGTTCTGCAGCCGAGCCGGACCCACCTTCCTGAACTCGTCGAAGCAGATGGCGTCGTCCCGGTCCAGGTCGGCCTCCTGGATGCCGCGCTCCGCGATGCTCTGCAGCTGCTCCTCCGTCACCTGCAGCCCCAGCATCTCCCTCAGCACCTGCTGGATGAAGCCGGGTCAGAACCGGAACCACCATTCTGTCCCGACGACAGAGACGCTGCAGCCGGAAACGACCAGCAGCTGGTGAAGGTAGAACGTTCTCTTTCAATTCTGCACTTTTATAGAAATATTTTCACTGTCGTTTGGTATGAGGCAGATCATCTGAAAGAAATCGAGCTCCTCTGGCTTCTCCCAGAACAAACTAGAACCACCAATCAGAGTCAGGAGGCGGGGCTTAGCGCTGTCAATCACCTTTTCAGACAGCAGTCTGTCATGAATGCTAGGCTAGTTAGCATGAGCACCAATAAGCAGTTTTCCTGTAACAGTAAGTTCTTTCTCCTCTATTAGGAAATTTAGCCGCAAGTACATGAGAGTGATTGGCAGCACTAAGCCCCTCCTCCTTACCAGGCCAGAGGGGAGATCAATCTGTCCCGATCATCACATAACGAACGGATTTAATAAATATTTTAAAATGAAAGACGAGGTTTCTGAATGGACCTGCAGCAGCTCGGTTCTGGAGATCTTCCCGTCTCGGTCCCGGTCGTACAGCTGGAAGGCAACTGAGGAGGGACATTTCCTGAATCAGGACAGCATTTCCAGGAAGCTTCAGAGAAAATGACAAACCCAGACTGACATTTGAGTTTCCGGTTCCGGCTGTTGGCCCGCTCCGGCTGCACGGCGGCACAGGTCCGGTTCTTCTCCATGGGACGGAAGTGAGCCAGAACCCGGACAAACGAGGGGAAGTCCACCGCTTCCTGTCTGCAGAGAGGAAGGAAGGCTGAATGCTGCTGACTTCCTGTTCAGGCTCAGCAAAGGTCCGGTTCTGTACCCCGGCTGGAAAAACGCTCCGACGATCCGGTCTCCGATGGGATTCAAAGACAGCTCCGCCTCCAAGTCCTCGGACCTGAGACCCAAACAGAACCGACCTGAGACCCAAACAGAACCGACCCAAACAGAACCGACCTGAGACCCAAACAGAACCGACCTGAGACCCACCTGAGGTGACCCCTGCCGTGTTTGTCCAGGAAGCGGAACCGCTCATGGAGACGCAGGAGGTGGGCTGCAGAGACTGGAGGGAAAACAGTCGGGTTTAATCTGGTTCTGGAAACTCAGGAACTCCAGAACCAAATGAATGAAGGCCAACTGGAGCAGGAAGTCCAGGTTCTGGTTCTGGTCTGCACCAGATGAATAATTGGATGAATTAATTGATCAGTTATTGACAAATAATAGACTGGAACCAGTTTCCTTTGCTGGTTCTGGGTTCAGTTAGTCCCAGTTGAATTTGGGCCCCATTCGGGTTCAGCTGGACTCTGACGGTTCTGAACTGTTCTGGTTCCGGCCCAAGTTCAGGAGAACCCGTTCAGTTTGTGTTTCTCCTTTGCTTCAGTTTGACATAAAAATACAATCAATAAATCAATAAATAATCTGAATATTGATGAATAAATTATAGTAATGACACTGTATGGACGCCTGGGGGCGCTCTTCACTCAGCTGCTGCCATTATGGCTCTGATTGTACCAATATATGATAAATGGACTTGCCATACAGCTTCTGGTCCAGATGTCATCAGTTTATTACAAACTTCCTGAAATATTCAGTTATGTTCCTCATAAATGTCGATCTTTAAACTCTAAACCTGAAATAATCTAAAATAATCTTTAAACTCTAAACCTGAAATGATTTGAAATGATTTAAAATATTTTAAAATAATCTAAAATAATTTGTTTTCTGAGGTTCTGCAGCATGAAGACGTTTTATCTTCCTGTCCAGCTTCTCTATCAGGGAGGAGAGCAGAGGAGGAGACGCAGATAAACGACCCGATGAGACACACACACACACACACACACACACACACACACACACACACACACACACACACACACACACACACACACACACACACACACACACACACACACACACACACCAAGCGGTTATTCTCAGTACATTAAAGAAAACAAAACTAATTTCATTCTGGCAGATAATTTCACATTTTGTCAGGTTTAATCTGCTACATGTTAAAATCCATATTTTAGAACTAAATTAAAACAAACGACTTTATCTCGCTGAAAATGAGCTGAAATGAGTTTTTTCTTATTTAAATGCTATTTTAAGATTCATTGTTTCTGCAGTGAAACAGAATCAGTTCAGACCTTAAAGTTCAGATTCTGATCATTTTCTATCATGAAGAAATGTTGAATGAAAACATCCTGCCTGATAAAGACCGAACAGAACCATCCAGAACCGAACCGAACAGAACCGTCCAGAACCGAACCGAACAGAACCATCCAGAACCGAACCGAACAGAACCATCCAGAACCGTCCAGAACGCCGAGGCTCACATCCGGTTTCCTGCAGGAGCTGCTGGCCGTCCGGGACGAGGCTCAGGCTGGAGCGACTGGAGCCCATCTTGCTGCCTGCGGCTGCCTGCTGTGCTACTGCTGATCTGACCAGCAGCTCAGCCAATCACATCTCAGCAGATAAATCCACCCGCCTGCTGTTCTTGCTGATCAGGAACGCTGACGCTGCAGATCTTCAAACGTGAACATCAGACACAATGAAGCACAGGAAGCAGAACTTCATGGACTGAAGGAAAATCCTCATCAGAGAAACGACTTTATGTTGCGTAGGAAAATTTCATTTTATGACCACTGGGCTGGTTCTGGCCCGAAGCCAGAACCAGCAGAACCAGCCTGGCAGCATAATGTAGGCAAACATCCACCAGAACCGACCCAGATCCGTCTCTGAAGTTCTGGTTCTCCAGAGATCCTCAGTAGGACCTGGACCCACACCAGAACCAGGACCAGAACCTGGTATTTTTTGTTCTGACCCTCCATATGTTCAGCTATTGGGATCAATAACTGATCAGAATCCCCATGAAGAGTCGGCCTGAGCCTCAGCTGGACACCAGGTGGCGCCGTTTCCCCAGAGATCAGAGCCTCCCGGTACCAGGAGTACCGGCCGGTCCGATTGTTGTTCTGAACCGTTTATATAATCAAATGAAAACTCTGAATTTTTATTAGTAATTATTGTCGAACCAGAACCGGCCCAGACTGCGGACTCCAATTTTATTTCTGTTTTGTGAATTTTAAAAATGTAAATATTTCTGATGGTTGGAAGGAAACGGCCCGCAGCATGAACCACCTCTGGGCTGGGTGAGTCGGTCCTCTGGGTCCAGGTTCTGTCAGCTGGATCGGGTTCTTCATGCAGAACTTCCTCCAGATTGAAACTTTGAGGATTTTCTCTCTTGATTCTCAAATGGAAATCTTAGATTTAACAACATCTGTTTATTTGGAAAACTTTGTTTATTCGCCTGGATTATGAATCTTTCCCCAAACTGCAGAGATTCATTCAGAACCTGATCAGCGGCGGAGGGTTGTGCAATGTAACGGTCGCCGTGCTGATCGGGTTTCTAATTTACTGGAACCTTTTCCTCGTCACTTTCAGGCTCTGCGGTTCTTTCCAGGCCTGAGAACAAAGGCCAGGAATGTGGAGGCGGCAGGCGACACGTGGGCGGGACGAGAGCCGACAGGTGGAAGAAACGCGACGCGTGGCGAAGCGACGGCTCCGCCCCCACCTGCAGCACACTGACCTGCAGCACACCGACCTGCAGCACACCGACCTGCAGCACACTGACCTGCAGCACACCGACCTGCAGCACACCGACCTGCAGCACACTGACCTGCAGCACACCGACCTGCACCACCCCCCCTGCAGCACACTGACCTGCAGCACACTGACCTGCAGCACACTGACCTGCAGCACACTGACCTGCAGCACACCGACCTGCAGCACACCGACCTGCACCACCCCGACCTGCAGCACACCGACCTGCAGCACACCGACCTGCAGCACACTGACCTGCAGCACACTGACCTGCAGCACACTGACCTGCAGCACACTGACCTGCAGCACACCGACCTGCAGCACACTGACCTGCAGCACACTGACCTGCAGCACACCGACCTGCAGCACCCCCATCAGGAAAACCCAGCCAAACCACAGAACCCTGCTCACCCTAACGGACAGAAAGCTCCAGAAAAATGTTTCATTTCATACACAAACAGAACAAATCAGAGAGAAACGACCTCTAAGAGACCTACCTGAAGGTCAAAGGTCACAAATCAAACTAAATGAGGAAACTGAGGGTCAGCCGATCATGGCTGACCCTGATCGGTCAGTGACATCACAGCTGCAGGTAAAAGCCGTCATCTTTATGTCAGATGACGGCTGATGCTGATTGGACGGTTTATTTTCCTGTGTTGCAGTGAGCGTCCAACCTGAAGGTCAGAGGTCAGGGAGGAGTCGGTCTGCAGACAGAAAGCCCCGCCCCCCCCTGAGAGACTGATGGATTAATAACTGACACAGTGACAGTGCATAAAGATGTGTGTGTGTGTGTGTGTGTGTGTGTGTGTGTGTGTGTGTGTGTGTGTGTGTGTGTGTGTGTGTGTGTGTGTGTGTGTGTGTGTGTGTGTGTGTGTGTTTTGGCGGAGCTCCAGCAGGAAGCAGCCTTGTGACCCGACCTGAACCGGGTCGACCTGCTTTCATTCACACTGAAACAGAAACGATTGATAATGATCTGAGGGGTGATTCCAGCAGGAGGAAGATCTTCATCAGATCTTCATCAGATCTTCATCAGATTATCAATCCTGCAGATTACAGGCGACAGCTGGAGGTCAGGCGAGGAGGAAGAGGAGGAGGAAGATCCCACTGACTCCAGGCTGAGACCCAAAACTCCAGCAGGGAAATTCATGTTGGAACCAGGAGCAGAACTTTTTTCTGCTGATAATCTGGATGATTGAGCAGGAAGCAGAAACTCAGTTTATCAACAGGAAGTCACTTCGCTGAGATGGCAAACAGGAAACAGTTCAAGGTTCAACTGGCCTAAAATAAACCAGCATCAGGGAAAGTGAAGGAGCTTTTTGGATGAAAGGTGGAAAACCTTCAGGAAATGAGAGAAGAAGAAAAGTTTCTTCTGGGGGAACGAGAATCTGCCTCTAGGGCGGCGCTGTCTGCCCTACAGAAGCACCACAAGGTATTACACCTGGTTAGCTGGGTGCTAGCTTGTTAGCATTTCAGCTGCTGCAAACACCTCCAGGCTGCGCAGGCGGCTCGGCTGCACTGCATGCTAGGAGACTGAAGGAAGTTTAACGTCTGGCTCATCGCCACAGACGGTTTCCTGTCCACGACGAAGCCCCGCCCCTCTGCTTCCTGTTCAGTCGGAGCAGCAGGTGTTCAGCAGTGACATCACAGCTGCAGGTAAAAGCTGATTAACTCACAGCTCAACATCTTCAGTCAGTTTGGATCAAACTTTAAACGCAACGATAAATTTAAAGGTTGCTCAGCGACAGGCGGAGGCCAAACAACACAAAGACAATTTAGCAACTGTTGAAAAACTCACTGAAAATGAGAACGCAGAGGAAGCTGCTGCAGCTCCTCCAACGTGACGCAGCCGCTGCAGCTCCTCCAACGAGACGCAGCCGCTGCAGCTCCTCCAACGAGACGCAGCCGCTGCAGCTCCTCCAACGTGACGCAGCCGCTGCAGCTCCTCCAACGTGACGCAGCCGCTGCAGCTCCTCCAACGTGACGCAGCCGCTGCAGCTCCTCCAACGTGATGCAGCCGCTGCAGCTCCTCCAACGTGACGCAGCCGCTGCAGCTCCTCCAACGTGACGCAGCCGCTGCAGCTCCTCCAACGTGACGCAGCCGCTGCTCTCTGCAGTTGTGGAGATTTTTCTCTTTGACAAGATCAGAATCTAAAGTTTACGTCTTTGCAGTCAAACATGTAGAATCTGAAATCCGTGCAGCTTTTAGGTTTGTAACAAATGAGGAAACCTCAGGCGTCCTTCACTCCTGTGTGATTCCTGACGGGAAGTCGACACTCAGGACGACTCAGCAGGAAGTTGCCTTGAACAAGCTAAACTCACAGAGACACATTAGCAGTTATGATGCGAGGCTGACGGTTAAATTTACATCATTGTACTAAATCATTAAGATAAACAGAAAGTCTGCAGTTTATTAGGAAGAGAAGGAACCTCAGAACTCGGCCCTGTGGGACTCCAGTGTCCTTTAAATCTGCAGAATGATGTGAAACCTGAACACAGTTGCTAACACTGACAAAAGAAGCAAAAGAGAAAGTGTTGGAGTTTGTTCTGTCATGTTATCAGTGTTTACGGCGCAGAAAGCCGAGCGTTTCCTGGTGGAGTCACTGATCTTCCACAGAAATCTGCATGCGGCGTTTTCTCTGAAACTATTTAAAGCAATGCTTGTGTAACCGCTGCAGATCCACATCAGCTCTAATCTGCGCTGCTGAAAGCCCCGATGACGCTCTGCCCTTCCTGTTCAGGAGTTTCCGTTTTCCTGGCCTCGGGGATTTTCTGCTCAGACCCGGTTTCACCGTGAGCTCAGCGGACCGACCTTCAGTCCTTCCTCCTCTTCCTGCTCATGGATGGAGAATCAGCCACTCGTTGTCCAGGAAGGTCCACTGACCGAGGTCCAAACTAAAGGACCCAAACAGACTGAAAGGTCCTAGTAAAAGTCCAGTCCCAGTTCTGGTCCATTTGGATCCTGTCGACCAAGTTCCCCCTGCAGGTTTACTTCTTTTATGACCCGGTTCTGTTCAGTAAATCCGTTATGGACTTGGTCTGTTTGCTGCTATAAAGCAACATGTTCTGTCCTCCAACACCTGACCTTTGACCCCAAATCCCAGAGCAGCTGTGCAGGAGGCTGTTCCTATGGTTATGAACAGAAAGTTGTTCAGGTGAGCTGGTCAGTTTGACCAAACTGATAATGTTGTAGTTATAATCCTGCTAAATAAAATAAAAGACGAGCAGGAAAACTTTCTGCTCATCTAACCTCACTAACCTTGCTAACCCCGCTAACCTCTCTAACCCAGCGTACCCAGCGAACCTCGCTAACCCATCTAACCCGGCTAACCTCGCTAACCCAGCGTACCCAGCGTACCCAGCTAACCCAGCGAACCCCGCTAACCCAGCTAACCCGGCTAACCTCGCTAACCCAGCGTACCCAGCTAACCCAGCGAACCCCGCTAACCCAGCTAACCCGGCTAACCTCGCTAACCCAGCGAACCGCGCTAACCTCGCTAACCCAGCGTACCCAGCTAACCCGGCTAACCCCGCTAACCCAGCGAACCCCGCTAACCCAGCTAACCCGGCTAACCTCGCTAACCCAGCGTACCCAGCTAACCCGGCTAACCTCGCTAACCCAGGGAACCGTGCTAACCCCGCTAACCTCGCTAACCCAGGGAATCGTGCTAACCCCGCTAACCTCGCTAACCCAGCTAACCTCGCTAACCCGGTGAACTGTTTGGGTCGGAGTCGCTCGGACCCGGAGGCCATAAATGCTGACTGTTATGATGAAGAGGAGGATGATGAAGATGCGTCAAACTGAAAGTTGCTGTTTGTTTTCCTGACGTTTGATTTTCTCTGAAGCGTTTAGTTTGAAGATCAGATC